GGGGGGGGGGGGGGGGGGGACGCATTCAAACAGACTGGTTTATGTAATTTTTTATATCTTTAATTAAAACCAATAGAGTATAAACTGCCCTAGCTCAAAAATAGGAAATAGCGTTCTTCATTGTAGTCAGCCGAGCTCAATGGCCGAGCTACAGTCCCTGACTCGTATTGACACCATATAACTATGGCTCTGTTTGTGCTGCTATAATATTAGAAAAACTGCAGAAGATTTAGATATTAGATATCAACTGGCCATTCATAGCATCATAATAGCACCATCACAAAAACATTAAAGAATTTCAGGAATTTTTGGAAAACGTAGGAATTTCAGAGCTGGTGGCAAGGAATTCTAGAGCAATGAATAATGACATTTCGATTAAATATTTCATATACTATTACTGTATTAAACCATGATTACTGCAACATTTCAGTCCCAAATTGCTGTTAAACTTCTGTTTCATCGTTTGCAAGTTGATTTTTTTATATTTTGAGGCTAATATTCTGGCATTTCACTATTTGAAATGACTGACATGACAATACCACACCTATCCATTTCTATCCCTCATAATTCCTCATTGTTTATTTCATTATTTGACAGATTTGAACATGCAGCCCATTGCAGCGCCTATAAACAGAAAATCTCTGTCGTTTTAATGTTTTTTTAAAAACATGGCTGTGAATGGCGAGTCATATGATAAGCCTGTTTTTAAAACACTGAAACGCCAGGCAGTGAGCGAAGTATTAGATTTTTCAAGTCAATATGGTTCTGATCAGTCAAAAAGCTACACTGCACAAAATGTTGTTGGAGAAATTTATAATTACCCCAGCTATGGTGATTTTACCCAATCACTTGTTTTTGTAAGTATGAAGAGTATGTGAAATGAAATTACTAATATTTTGTGTGTTATTCTATGGTTATTCTTCATATTAAATTCTTTATTCCTAAAGCTTACAACTTTTACTTACTGTCAGTTTACTGTACATTCACAGTTGAGTACAATAATTTATATACAGTACTACGCTGCAACATCTGAAATACAGACTGTTAGACCCATAGATATCTTATAGACACTAGATAGTGCATCTAATTATTCTGCAATTCAAAAATTGAAGCCGTGATTGCAGACTCAGGATATTCCCATGAAATGAGAAGACTCGTATGTTTTCTATTTCCTAAACAGGGAACTTAAATTAAACATTAAGTTAAACCTATTCCAAATACATTTTCAAACTATTCAAATGATGAAAGTTATTGTTGTTTTATAAGTGTTTATTAGCGAGTGGGAAACTCCAACATGCCCGCCATCTATTCAAATGGGGGTAACCGCTGGAATATTCTTGGCTTCAATTTTACTAAAAGAGATGCACTATCTCAGTGGCGTAACTACTATGGGTTCAGACCGGGAGAACCCGGGGGCCCCCAACCCCAATGGGCCAAATGGGGGCCCCCAGGCTTAGGCTGTAGAGCAAATACATTGGCCAGGGCCTCTAATATTTTACAATGTCGTTTTCTGACCATCAGAATTCTGTAAAATCTCTCCCCAAAGTCCGGGAAATGGCATTTCAGAGAGTCTAGATTAAAAAATTTTCCGGAAAACTTGTGCATATACGGCGCTCAACTTGTGCATTCGACATTTCTACTATGGCATTTTTGGTATGATCATGATCGATAAAATCATGACAAGAGATTGTGTCAAGAACTTTCAAGATCAAGATGGATAAAATCTTGGCAAATCATAAAATAATAATATTTAATATTTATATTGCGCAAATTAACATGTTATAGTATATGATCAAATGCGGCAATCATTCTGGGATCATGGCAAGATCATGGTGAGATCTTGACAAGATCTTCCAAGACCATGGCAAGATTATAATAGAATCTTGGCAAGATTGTGATAAGATCTAATAGCAAGGATCATGGTGGGATCTTGACAAGATCCTCCAAGATCATAGCAAGATTACAATAGGATCTTGGCAAGATTTTGATAAGATTCTTGGCAAGATCATTGTGGAATCTTGGCAAGATTGTCCAAGATCATGGCAAGATTATGATAGAATCTTGGCAAGATTATGATAGAATCTTGGCAAGATTGTGATAAGATCTTGGCAAGGATCATGGTGGGATTTTGGCAAGACCATGGTGGGATCTTGACAAGATCCTCCAAGACCATGGCAAGATTACAATAGGATCTTGGCAAGATTTTGATATGATCTTGTTAAGATCATGGTGGAATCTTGCTACAATTGTCCAAGATCATGGCAAGATTATGATAGAATCTTGGCAAGATTATGATAAGATCTTAGCAAGGACCATGGTGGGATCTTGGCAAGATCACGGTGGGATCTTGACAAGATCTTCCAAGATCATGGCAAGATCATGATAGAGCTAGTATTGGCAATATTGTGATATAATTGTGATTGGTTTGATCAAGGTTCATTATACCTATACTCTTGAAGGTCGAAAACTGCAACAGCTAGCAAGAAATATATGCAATATGAAGAAAAATCATGAAAGATCTTGACAAGAATTTCAGACAATCTTGGCAAGATTTTGGCAAGTATGGCAAGATTGAATAATCTTGGCAAGATATTGGTAATATCTTGGCAAGATCTTACCAAGATTAGAGTCTTCCCAAGAACTTAATGCCATATATGATCTTCCAAGATCATGCAAGATCCTACAAGATCTTGCCAAGATCTTCAACCTGCGCCTCCATTATTCAACTTGTTACCATGATATGCATTCCATGCATATTGTTTTCACTTGCCAAAAGTCTACACTTGCAATATATATTATGTCATGTTTCTCGATCGTTACCTGTCTTGGGTGGGTTCAGATATGGTGAATATTGATTCAATGTTACAGTAATTAATACAGCGATTTCGTTAGAGAATTTCAAGGACTTTTATGTCTTTTTGTGTCTGCAGATCAATCGCTTTTATCTAGTTACTGTAAACAAGAACACTAGCGACCCTCAAACTATAAATAAATGTAATTTCATGAATTTCCGAGTAAAATCGCGATGATAATTAATGCACACGAACATGTGAAAACGGATCAACTTCGTAGAGCGGCCTTGCCTGTGCTAACATGAATATGGACGTAGCGGCCCTCAGTATTCAAATATTAGTCACATCCAATTTTAATTGCTATTAATTTATAGTCAGTAAAATATGTCAGTCATTATATTTGTGGTGTATATCCTACACAGACCATTCCTGGAGACCTGGACAGACATTTTTAAAATTTTTGCCCATATATTACAAGATCATTTAGAGCTGTACGTGATTATAATTATAAGAAATCGTCCAAAGGTTTGAATTTATATAAATTAGTCATATTTCATGACTTGGTCGTTCACATATGGATATGACTGTTTAATTAAAGTAATTTAATTAGCAGAGAACCCCAAGAAAAATATTCAGTTTAATTAATCCATTGAGTGGCAGACTCTCCCTTTTGACAAGTAAAATTATCTGGAGTTAGACGGAGTAAAATAGTAAAGTAGGGCACATCAGGGTGCATTGCCACATACTTAATTAAAGGATTAAATTAAACCTTAAAATAAGAAATCATATTATATTATTAACGTATTTAACTAACTTTAAAGACTAAAGTTTAGTTGCCTGACAAAAGCAACACTTGATCACTCACATGCAGTTACAGTATACCTTATTACTGTATATAAGCATGCTGTATAGGACTGAGGGCTCCTACATTTTTTCTGTCATGGGTATGAAAATATATTTTTTATGTTATAGAGAACTTATGGAACATGGTGGAACCAATGTCCGTCAACCCCAAAACCTTTTAAAGAATACACAAATTTATCTTTTATTAGTCAGGATTTTGTAGGTTTGTGCAACATACACTATAATTCAGCGAGAAAGCTATGGATTGATAGGGATAATCATGGGCGTACCGGAAGGAAAAATTTAGGGGGGCGGAAAGAAATTTGCCCGACTTTTCCGGATTTTGCCCGACACGTACCGAAATTTTTTTTCCGGAATTTGTTTTGGCTACCTCAACCCCCGTCGCCAAAAAAATTTCGGTCAGTGTACCATTTAAGGGGTCCAAAATTTTTCCAGGACATACCAAAATGTTCCGGAACCTAACAAAAATTCTGGAAACATCACAAAATTGACAGAATTTGTCCAATTTATTTTTTTAATAAACCAAAATTGCCCGACTGTTCAGCGAATATTGCCCGACTGCCCAACAATTTATATTTGGGCATTTTATATATCAGGGGTGTAGGAAGCAAATACCCTCCCCCCCAAAATTGTATATATTTATAATAATTATTGGATCAAATTATAGCTTGAATCGCCCCCCTTAATAAGTGGATCAAATTATAGCTTTCGCCCCCCAAAAACAATAGAATTTTTTTAAATGTGCTTATGTTATGGGCCTATTAACAATGATAGCATAGACTCACAAATCATAATGAAACAGCCTAATCTAATGAAAGAGGTAAAAAGAGTAAACCTGAGAATGTCAATTCCAAACTTTTCCCTCTCAGTGCCAACCATGGTAGACTGTCCACAGCCATAAATTATCCTGTAATAGAATTTATGGCTGTGCACAGGCTAGTAGTCAATATGGAGGTGCCATGTGGAATTGGGCCCCCTATAAAGTTTATGAAGCTTCCTACGCCTGTGTTACGTATACATAATCATTTGCTTTCATTTACATTATAGTGTATACTGTAAATCACTAGACGTGCAATGTTCAATAATTTTCACTTTTATACAGTTCATGTAGAATGTACAGTATACTATATAGTATTTAAAAGCAAGATGAACAACTGGCCATCAACTCTCTCTTTGTTGTAGATATTCAATTTAATGATGCTGTGTATCCAACAGAAATAGAAATATTTGAAACATATAACCCCGGTGCTGTAGTCAGGATTCTTGCATTTAACAGTAATGCAGAAATAACAGATATACATAATAGGTAACTATATACATTTGTTAATACCTGCATGTTCACATGATTATAATTATCAGGGCTGCAAATTACTGTCGGACATCGGACAATGTCCGACTAAATTTGGCAAATGTCCGAGGAAAAGTGATTTTGATCGGACATTGGTCCGATCACACAAAAAAATTGTCACATTATACACATTTTTTTGCTGTGACAAAATCCGATTGCAAATTCACTCAATTTGTATTTTGCAATTAAATTTACGAGGCATTCTAGCATTTTACTTAACGTTGCGCTGGAATGGCTATACATACTTGTCTTGTGACATATATATCTTAATTGTGACGTATATATGTCCGACCAAATTCAAGTTATGTCCGACCAAAATTAAAAGTGATCGGACAAATGTCCTGTCAAGTCAAATATTTATTTGCAGCCCTGATTATATATTTTCACGCAGTGACTGTACTTCTTTACTTAGCAGTATAGTTGCCACTAAAGACATTTCGTGAACACATGCACACGTACCATATTTCCTCGTTTTAATTACGGTGTCCCAGTTGATTTGGACCCCCGTAGATTTGGACCCCCGGTCCATATCCACTAGTAGATATGGACCCCCCGGTCCAAATCTCCTAGCAGATATGGACCCCCGGGGGTCCAAATCTACTAGTAAATACGGACCCCCGTTGGCGGATTTGGACCCCCCTTCAAAAGTTAAATATATGTAATGTGAACACAATAATATAAACCAAATTAATAATAGCGATCAATCTGAAGTATTTTATCATAGGAAAATAGAATACAGTGTGACTAAAATCTATGTATAGTATTTGCCAATAACGAATCACTGTTTAACAAAAGCGATAGAAATGGCATTTGGATCGACACGAAACACGATTTTCATGAATGTTTTTGAACAATCAAAGTGGTGGTGACTCATCTAAATGGAAGCCTGTGACCATCCACCAATGATTTTTAACAAAAACCATAGAAATAGCATATTAGAGCAACGCCATCCATGAATATTTTTAAACAATAAGTGATGTTTGTGAGTCTTTGCTAATGGGCTTTTTAAAAAAAGCCATAGAAATAGCATATTAGAGCAACGCGATTCCATGAATATTTTTAAACAATAAGTGATGACTTATCAGTTGCCTTGCAGCTATATAAATGTTTTAGTGTCATTCGCGATTTCAATGCGAATAGAACTATAATCTCTGTTTAACGCAAAATGGCTGATTTGACTGCGTACGAAGAAGTATTTCATTATCTTCGCGACAACGAGTCCCCAATTCTTACAACAAAGACCAGAAGAGGAACACCGTTATTGGTTTTTTTTTTAGTATATAAAAGTGTTTAAAAAACGGGGGTCCATATCCGCTAAAGGGGGTTCATATCTACTAGGAGATTTGGACCGGGGGGTCCATATGTACTAGGAGATTTGGACCGGGGGGTCCAAATTTACTGGGGGGTCCAAATCCGCTGTGACAACGGCAAGGTGCGATATCGCTTACAGAGTAATTACAGCGCTATTTAAGAATTAATTTCAGTATTTGTAAAAACAATCACTGCAAAAGACTTCTATAAGTTAGGTGTATTGTGCAAGCAAATTGTTTTCTGCCTTCGCTACAGAAACGGACAAGTTGAATAAGAGAAAACCGAAATACTCATGTGATGTGTATATATCATAGATATCTTATATACACTAGATAGCGCATCTCTTTTAGTAAAATTGAAGCCAAGAATATTCCAGCGGTTACCCCCATTTGAATAGATGGCGGCCATGTTGGTCATTCCCACTCGGATGGTGTATTTTACGGAATGGCGGAATTGACGGAATGGCGGAATTGACGGAATGGCGGAATTGATCATGAATATATACACTATCATCCATACTTTATTAGTTTGTTTTCAGCAACAGCTATTCGACATAACACTGTCGGATGATTATGGTGATTCATGCAAGTTTTAAAGTGCAATTACTGTTTGCATTTATGTACAATATACATTTACTGATATACGGATTGATTTAATCAGCAAAATGCCAAAATCCTGTGAAGATATTAAGTCTGCAGCTGTCAAAACAAGAACCTTTACAAACCTCTCAACTCCAGAAACAACTTCTGAGTATAACCTCTTGCCCGACATCTTGAAAAAGCTAGCAAGAGTTTTTCAATATCAATGTTGTATTATTCGCTGACTTATTCCCACAGAAAAACACGTGCATTTATGTGGCGTTCGTTTATATATCGCGATGACGTTACAAATCACGCGACCAAGGCCAAGCCTGACACGCAGGTTTTATATTCGGTCAAACCAAAACTCGAAGTGTTCACTCTTAAACTTTAACTTAAACTATTTCTTAACCTTGAAATATTTTTTAGAAAGACTTTGCATAATTTTATATTTTGGCGATGGTTATTTGAAAATTTAAGCACAACAGTTACATTATGCCTCTCGTAGTGTAGCCTAGTCAGTCCTGTAAAACAAAGTAATTTCCATCAACATTCCCAAGCTGTTTTTCGCCTACAATCAAATGTCAGTTGTGTGAAGCCAAAACCAAGAAATAAACAGAATGTACAACATATTTCAAACCTTAGTTGTGCTAATACTGGCGAAAGTCAACCGGCACCAAGTGGGACCGGATCTTTGAAATAGTTGGACCGCCTACCTCTGGTTGAAACGCTTAACGCGACAGTTAGTAACCCCATGCGTACATCTCGAAGTGGGGCCGAACCCCTTGATTGGATAGGACGGTTGCCCCTACTTGTTAATTACTCGACACATGCGCCTCGCTCACGCCAGACTCAAAGGAATGAAACAGGAAAGATGAACCGGCATACGTTTTTTCGGTCGCGATTCAGCCAGCAGGCAGACTGGTTGAATTACCTGGAGTTTGTCCGTCACACATTGCAATAAACTTGGAGATCCCTGTCGCAGCTAGTAACAACACTATAATCACACCGGAACGAAACACTATACCAGTAAGAATTACATCTTACCATGAAATCGAAGGTCAGCAGTCTAGCGCTCCGTGTTATAATGAACATATTCCTAATACTAGCAAACGAAACCGTAGCGGAACGCGTAATCTAATTGAAATTCCAATCAAGAATCCATCCCTATATCAAAGCACGTCTCTATATCAAAGCCCAAAGTGCGCCCAAAGTAATTTACTGACATTCCTTCTCTCAAATACAAGATCACTTTTACCAAAGGTGGATGAATTAAAAATTATACTTGACCAATATGATGTGAGTATGGCCTTCATAACCGAAACATGGTTAAATGAGAAAATCGACGATGCAGCAGTTTGTATTCGCGGGTATTCAATAGCAAGATGTGATCGAATTGATAAACTTGGCGGTGGAGTTTGTGCTTTTATTAAATCAGACATCCCGTTCAAAATTCTAACAGAATTTAATGACATCAATTTTGAAACCTTATGGATCTATGTACGACCTTATAAACTTAATCGAGGCTTCTCGTGTTTGATCGTCTGTGTGACCTATAAACCTCCATCCAGCGACAACGCCGCGTTTATAGATCACCTCAGCTCAACACTTGACCTCGCTCTCAATAAGTACCCAAATGCAGGTATATTTTTACTCAGATGTCCTGAGATTTTAACAGATGTCCTGTCTCATCTTTATTAAGACATTTTACTGCGAAACAAATCGTAAAACAACCAACCAGGAATGATGCTGTCCTTGACCTTCTTCTTACTAATATGTCAGACACATGTGACCCTCCTAAGGTGATCGCACCCATCGGACTCAGCGACCATAATTCCGTTTTATGCATTTTAAAAAAATGTAAATCATTGAACGGATGCAAGAAAATAAAAATTAGACCCGGTAACAGAGGTGCCAAAGTTGCATTTGGAAGATGGCTAACGAACTATAATTGGACTAACCTGTATCATACTGCACCGTGCGAACAAAAACTGGAAATTTTTCAGGATGTTATTCATACCGGCTTAGACCACTTCCTTCCATGTAAAGTAGTTAAAATGCACGACCGAGATAAGCCTTGGATAACACCTTCATACAAGGAACTTATTAAAAGCAGACAGAAGGCATTTTTTCAGAAAAATGACAAATTGTACCGGCGACTACGTAATCGTGCCAATCGAGAAAGTAAGTACCTTAAATCTGCATTCTTAGAACATAAATTGAAACAATTGAAACGTAACCCTGATCCTAAGAAATGGTGGGACACCGTAAAACAAATAGCTGGCTACCCTAAGAAGAAATCTTTTTCAAGTATTGTCCTAGGAGAGCAAGTCGTCTCTGGAAAGCAACTTGCTGAAAAAATTAACGAGGCTTTCGTATCCGTTACTCGAGATATTCCTCCCCTTAGTCCTATCCCTTTCCCCGATAGCCAATTACAAAGCGATTGTACTACAATTCCAACCGAGTACTTTATTAGGGAAGAAGACATTTATTATAAATTATCTTCAATATCATCCTCGAAAGCGGCTGGCCCAGATGAAATACCGAATTGGGTCCTAAAAGATTATGCGCCCCTGCTGTCTCCCCCTGTTACTTCAATCTTCAACGCCTCCCTTCAACAGGCGTCTGTTCCCGGGGTATGGAAAAAAGCCGACGTCATCCCTGTACCTAAAAATAAGGTGCCGAGGGACATTACTAAGGACTTGCGTCCCATCTCGCTTACTGCCACTTTGTCAAAAACGTGTGAACGTTTTGTCGCAGACTGGCTGATGGAGTTGATTGGTGAGAAGATCGATAAACGGCAATTTGGATCTCTAAAAAACTCCTCAACAACACATGCATTATAGACCTTATTCATAAATCGTGATGAGGCCTCGTATCCTAGGAAACGGGGGAAAACGCGGGAAAATTGACAAAATGTGTTTTTTTTGCTGACGGCTATGGCAGCTTTTTTTTCGTGAATATTACGGCTTTTTTCGAAAATAATATCTATAAAACTGAGCTTGAAAGTTGAAAAAATACTTCTGAGAAAATATAACATGATATTTAAAGCAAAAGATGCTGGAGTCAATCGAAAAAGGAAACCTTTGACTTTGTATTATTGTCGTAGTTTGTATGGTCAAAACAAACAACCAACAAGGCTACAAAACGTCTATACAACACCAAAATCGTAAGGAATATGAAACTATTGTTGAAGAAATAGGATTACAACTCACTCAGGTAATGTAGCCTCCATTTTTTAAACTTGTATAGGCTGCTTGCAGATGCTATCGAGCCACAGCCATAGTTCATATTTTCCCGTACGAATCAATAACATTTGACGTTCTCTTGTGATTTTTTACTGTTGTTTTCTTTCAAATTTATGTCAAATGCGAAAAATTATACTTCCATTCCAAAGTTGTCTTGATTCTTCGCGGAATAACCTTTATATTGACGTTAAAATCTCAGTAAAATACTGTTTTTCGCTTCTGGATAAACACCATCGCTACGTTGTCATTTTTTCCACACAAAAACTGGAGAAAAACCGGTCGCTTTTATAATATACTCGTTTACCGCTTTCGTTGTGGGCACAAAGTCCTGAAATACACACAAAAATCGTTATAAATCGCAAAAAGCAACAAGAAACAAGCGGTTAAAGTCGACACAATAGCATCTGAATTTGGCTTGTCAAGCAGTTTTCGCTTGTTTTCCCGCGTTTTGTTCCCGTATCCTACGATACGAGGCCTCGTCACGATTTATGAATAAGGTCTATTGAGCCTTCTCCATCACTTATTAAACGAAACTGATGCGCCGAAAAACGCTGTGAGAATTTTTTTATTAGACTTCTCCAAAGCTTTTGATCATATTGATCATAACATCCTCCTCAGTAAATTATCTGGTATGGACGTTCCATCATTAATAACAAACTGGATAAGAAGTTTTCTTACTCAACGAAGCCAACGGGTCAGAATGCCCCATTGTGTGTCAGAATGGCAAATCCTTAACGGTGGAGTACCCCAGGGAACTGTTTTAGGCCCAATCCTCTTCCTAATCATGATAAATGATCTCCTCGCCGATTGGAAAGACCGATGGAAATACGTTGACGACACCACCACTACCGAAACCATTGGCCCAGATTGTAACAGCAACCTTCAAGAACTGGTTAATTACATCAATAATTGGACTACGAGTAATAATATGAAATTAAACATTGGAAAATGCAAATAACTGGTTATTGATTTTGCAAAAAAGAAGCATTGCTTTCCCCCTTTAACAGTCGATAAAGTTAATATTGAACGAGAGAAATCTGCCCGTATCCTTGGCCTCACAGTTCAAGATAACATGAAGTGGAATGAACATATAAACAACATAGTTAAAAAAGCTAGCAAGAGGCTCTATATGCTAAGACTGCTAAAAAGGTCCAACGCGTGTATTGACACGTTAATTACTGTATATACTACCATTATTAGGCCTGTTTTAGAGTACGCATGCCAGGTCTGGCATTACAATATCCAACAATATTTATGTGACGATATTGAAAAAATACAAAAACGCGCGTTGAGAATCATCCTCCCATCGCAAAAGTACGACGAAGCGCTGATCACGACTAACATCACGTCACTGAGAGATCGCCGAGAAAAATTATGCGAACATTTCTTTGAGAAGAATATTGACAATGAAAATATCAAAGATCTTTTACCACAAACAGTTTTATCTGGATATGATCTAAGACCGATATGTAAATATCATAATTATGTTTGCAGAACCGAACGTTTTAAGAATTCGTTTTTACCTCAAAGTATATTAAAGATTAACAGTAAATAAGTTTTTAGAAATGTAAATAATCTTAAATATGTAATTATTATGTAATTTTAACTTATCCTCTTAATTTATGTAATACTGGTGTAATTTAACCTTTTTGGGTTACAAAGTCAGTAGTCATTAAATCAATTCAATTCAATTCAACCGGGTTTGACATAAAATTATTATGCATGCAGTTAAAAATTATGCTTTTCCGAATTGTCAAATTCATTTAGGCCCTACTAGGTAAATTTCTGCTGTGATGCTTTACTTTTTCTTTGCTACTTTCTATCTTATTTTGATTCTTATAGAGCCTTATAGTGTAGACTTAAATATCATGATGTAAAATGTCTTTTGTTTACATGTACATGCGTCGGCTATCATTTCGACTATTTATTTCAACTCAAATTATTATCGGGCTTGGTCGCGTAATTTCGAAAACGGGTGTAATTTTTGTAGTCTATGCTGCACCCTGTGTAGAACCATGGATAGTGTATCACGGTAGAACCGGAGGAGTTTGGGCAGCTGTCACGTGAATTTCTCGACCAATAAAATCGTGTTTATTCTCGTCATGTTTGAAAAAAATTTTGGTCTTCAAATTTTCAGTGGACGCAGAAATGCCTAAAAATTGCCACAAAAGCAAGAATAACCACAAACGCAGAAATACCATTCCGTCAATTTGGCCATTCCGTCAATTCCGCCATTCCGTCAATTCCGCCATTCCGTCAATTCCGCCATTCCGTCAATTCAAAATACACCATCCGCGTTCCCACTTGCTAATAAACGCTTAAAAAGAACAATAACTTTCATCATTTGAATAGTTTAAAAACGTATTTGGAATAGGATTAACCGCCCTCGGTTAACTTAATGCTTAAGTTCCCTGTTTAAGAAATAGAAAACGTACGAATCTTCTCATTTCATGGGAACGACGTGAGACTGCAATCACGGCTTCAAATTTTGAATTGCAGAATAATTAGATGCACTATCTAGTGTATATAAGATATCTATAGTATATATACTTTAGAAGACTGTATCATGTATGTGATCATTAGATAAGTCAGTTCCCTCGGACATTTCTTACAAATACTTCAAAACTTAGAATTTACCTAATATATGCAAAATTCCCACTGTGATCACAGAAACTTCGTTAGTGTAAACCAGGCTTACGCTTGTAACTTATTGGATAAAACTCATTATGAATCCCTGAATCCTCGTTGACTCGCGATAGCTCAATACTGGGTAGAGTGGACGTCTGGACTAGAAACCCGAAGATGCCACTTCGGATCCCACTCCAGACAAAGAATGTTTTCTTCATGTACTCTGCAGTGTCAGAATAATATGTTAGGCTTAATATATTTGCTCTACCGTGTGCTGAGTATATGGTGGCAAACTGCTTTTTATGGACATATATTATAACGCATTATTTTGTCGGTTACATGCCGTAGATAAATTCATAACGCATTATTTTGGTGAAATAGGAAAATATACGCATATAGCTACATATTGACAAAGTTGATCGCCTCTCGTTGGTTTGTATATTCTGCGCCATATAGATTTGGTCTGAAGTTCATCACGCATATTTTATAATTCTAGCACATTTTTACTGTGCCTGTGGGTATATATGCCCCTACAAACAACAACAAAGTTACAAACTTACAATGACATCGCAGAAACTCGTTTTGTGATCAGTTTAGTGAGGTTTTTTCTAGTGCAATGCCAATGGGAAAATAGCCTTAAGTTTTCATTTTATAATTGCCGACCTTTCAGTAAGCAGGGTGTTAGCTACAGTCAAAAATTCCGCATTAAATTTGGTTTTCCCAATTACCTTGAGGTCGCAATTTAAGTTCCCAATTTGGATCAGCCAAAAAATAGTTATAGAAATTCAGTGTTGTTAATATGCCATTAAAAACATGTTTATAACTACATTTACTCAAAATTACTCCCAAAATGCGGGAAATGGCATTTCAAAGACACAACAATTTTAAAAATCGAGAGGGGGCAACCGCATGCCCCCAGACCCACAAAGAAATGCCCGGCTTCAGGCTAAAATAAATTTCCCAATTTCATGTTAAACGCAGATTTTTTTTTACTTCTGGCTAACACCCTGGTAAGGAACCGAGAAGATAATCTTCATCCATGATTACAACGTATATAACATGATTTTTCCCGTTCCTCGAACACAGGCATATTTTTCTTTTACTTAAAGATGGTTTGTTCTATGGTCAGGAAATGTACAGATATGTAAACGCCAAGCTCGGGTATTTTCACCAAAGTTAAAGAAATGTCCATTCAAAACCAGGTACCTAAATTCGACGAATTATAGTATATGAGATAAGTAGTTTTACGCTATTTTTGAACAATTTCCGAAATATTCATGGTGCATGCAAATAGTTAGATTGCCAACAAGGCAACATATTTCAATATTTTTCAGTGTTCTGCAGATTTCGATAAGTTCTCCAACCTTTCTTGGCTAAAATTGCCGAGAGTCTGTATATTGCATATAAAACAAGTATATCACCATCAGCATACCAATATAGTATATATCGGTATTTTTACTATATTTTTTTATAGCAGGACACTCGGTATAGTAACTTCTTCTTTTCGAAGGCGATCGATTTTATCGCCAGGGGTGGATCCAGCAAGCTTTTTCTAGAAGGGTGCTGGGTGACAGCCGAGTGTAGTATAATTCTTTAGGGGGTGGTGGGAGAGCATTCAAATGAATTGGCTTCCTAACGACTCGAGTACCGAAGGCGCGAGCTCCCTAGGGGGTTCAGGGGTATGCCCCCTGAAAATTTTGAAAATTGGAACCCTAGAAAAGCCATTTCCTGCGATATGGGCATTGAATTATGAGCTTCAGTTTGACTTCAAAAAAGGAAAAACCTTGGAAATCATGCCATATTTCTGAATTTGATTTTATTGCACCCCTTGCACCCCTGTTGACGAAGGCCAACAGCGGTGCGCACCCCTGTGCACCCCCTATAAATACCCCTGTTTATCGCCATTATATACTTCTGCACCGTCGCAATAACAAAGACATTTGATAGGCAACTATCGTACATCGTGCGTAGTATATTCATCTTTAGTATAATTACATTGGTTGCCGTTGAGGTGATTATAACGCGATAATCACCTAAGCAATTTTCGAAATTGCGGCCGAAGTCGTTTTGTCAATTAAATGACGAAGGAATGTGTATTTTTTATTTTTTTCCAAATAATCACCTATAAAATTATACTTAAAACTAGAAGTTACTATCGCAAGGAAAGTGCTGCCTCACCCCCAAGGTATTAAAGGCAGCATGCACAATTTGCTGAATAAGGGGCTGTTTATATGATCCCGCTTTGCCATTATTCTCATGTTGTTTTTATATCATTATATCAAACTAAAACCAAATACATAAAGAATACATAAAGGAAACTAAGTAAGTTATACTTTATAATTTAAAGTAAATTTTTAATGCAAAATATAATAAAATTAAAAAATAAATAAGTACCCACACAGAGCCTGGGCCACTGTGGTTTTATATGACAGGGCTCGACATAATGTTTCCAACGTTCCCGATCATGGTGATCAGCAGTCATGATTTTCTGCTGATTAAATGAAAATCTGGCCACAGGATACGTTCTGTTTATATGTTCTGTTTATATGTTCTGTTTATATGTTCTGTGATAATGCCGTAGTATGCATGGTGTTCGTTAACGACATTAACCGTGCTTTTGAGACAATGATTCTTGCCGATCAAGATGATCGGCAACCTTGCTTCTCTGCAGATCAAAAGCAACTCCTGCCGACCATTGATCGTTGATCGGCCGTTATTTCGTGCCCTGGTATGAATACCTTCAATGCTTATAACTTCTTGCTTTTGTATGTATAATTATAGTTCTGTCAGTGGTGAAACTAGCCATAGCAACAGGTCATGCTATGCAAGTTTTTAATGATTTGTATCATTCAAATAGATGCAGGTTTATCAGCATAGGCATAGCATGACCAGTAGCCATGACTAGCTTGCCACTGAATACTGTACAATATCATATATTCATATATACATAAACGATAATAATACTTGAATGAATCATTGGGCATGTAGAATTTGATAATAATTTCATGTATAGAAATACTATAATACAAAACTACCTCTATCACAGAACAACTGACATTTTTGTTTCAAACATCAGCTTCAGATCACCATTCATTTGTAATGATTAAGATTGTACTCAGTCAGAACTTCAAAACTATATAATAAGAAAGAAATTGTGAGCATTATCGAAAAAATATAGTATACCCTAAACAGAAGTGACACAGCTAGGTTAAAATATGAATATATTATGTAAGCCAGTAGGATTATTTCATATTAATGCTGACAATGGGTATCTCAGGGATATATCTTTACAGACTGCCATACCTTGTACAAAAGTCGGTTGACATACTATTACATGTAACTGCTGGTGAGTTAATATGTGCAGACAACCACGGGCGGATTTACTGGGGGGGCTAGTTGGGGTTAACCCCCTCTCTAACCCCAAGGTGTTATAAAGTGTTCAACCCACCAAAATTTCGCTTCACCCCTTTTACGTAGTGTGAAAGTCTTTAACCCTAACCCCTGCTGAAGCTCGGTGGTGCTGCTTGCACCCCACTAGAAAATATTTTGCCACCCTCCTTTTATAAAATGAAAATCCGCCCTTGCAGACAACAATCCACACAGGATTGCTATACTATAGGGCAGACAACAATCCACACAGGATTGCTATACTATAGGGATAACTTTATAATATTAAGCCTGAATGCCTGATCATTTTAAACCCTGCTACTCAACATTCCACGTTTGTTTTTAAAACATGCTGAAAGCACATTGCTATAAACATGTAGATTAAACACTATAATTAAACTATCGCCTTTGGACATCCCCACACAAACAAATAAACGAAAAGTAGATTTTGACTACATGTATATTAACTATAAAGACGATCACTCAGTACAGGCACAGTTAATAGAAATAGGCAGCGTAAATTCTGAAATTTATGATAAATTCATGCTGAATCTAAATTCATGAAATCATAGTGTTCTAAATATAAATCAAATGCCTTCATGTATATAATATTACCATGCAAAAAGAAATAAAGCTATCCTTACCTGAGTAGATGTGCCCCCCCCCCCCCATATGGGGTAAATTTCCCGCCATATGACGTCAGCATTTTTCCCGCATTACACAAAAACATTTATTTATTTATAAAATTGTAAAAGATTTTTTAACAGAGATGTTTTATGTTTTTTTGAGAACAAAGATTTTACAATTTATTGAGTTGTTCTCGTAGTTTATTTTCTAAATGTTTCTGATACGCTTTTTTATGATCCGTTTCGAGGGATTTGAATGTTTCCTTTGTCCCTTTGACATAATAGGTGTATCTTGGCGGTGAGCTGAAATGACATTGAGCACAGGATTCCAGGGGGTCAGTTTGTGGATTCCATAAGTCATGTAGAATACGTAGTAATGATTGATTGTCTTGATATACTTGTAGTAAAGTGTAGACAAAGTTTTGATCCGATTCTTCTTGCAAACACATCAGGTGCTGTGTGAAATCTTTATGATTTTCTACGTTTAGAATTTTGATAGCGGCCACGAATTCGTTCATGTGGAGGACGTTTTGTCAGCTTGTTCTATAGCGTTGAACCCGTGCATTCCCCAAGTTTCGTGTTCATCCATCATTAGGCAATCCTGTTCGTATACTTTACAGCCACAGCAGCGTTCATTGCGTATTTTTTGAACCTCGCATGCTACGTTTTTAGCGTAGATTACTTCCAGTAAGTGAAATATTGAACCAGCCATCATCAGAGAAAATATACAACTGTTTGCCGTGCTTTTTGACAAGTTTAAGATATATACTTTTTAGACATTTGTCGCGTAACACATTTGTTCCATGTAGCATAGCGTTTGTTCCATGACCTTTGTCGCGTAACACCTATTAGTCTAGGACCTGTATATGAGTTTGTATGCATTTCATTTAGGACAGATAATCTCAACTGTTTTGGGGCAAGTTGACCATGACGGTCAACATGGTAACGCTGCCCGAACCCCAATCCGGGGCGAAACGTCCGAAACTGACCACACCCAAAAACGACGCTTTCGCCATACTGCTATCTACCAAACCATAAAAGCTTTGGCTATTCTGAGGTGCTTATATGGTTCAGAGATGGTACTTTTGGGGGTGGTCATTGGTAAGTGTGAAATGCCTAGCACTAATATTTCACAAGAAAATGACCATGCAATAATCATAGTTAAACGTCAATTTGTGGCTTGCAAATTCAGATAAACAGCAGTGGACTTACATTACCTTTTTCCCTAAATCTTTTTGATAGAAACATAATTGGTACCTATCTAAATATATTATCACTGGTTTGGTGTAAAATAGTTAATATTTTCTGACCGAAATAATAATTTGAAATGTGCCTACCTCATGCAAATAGATAGATAGATAGATTTTATTTTGACACGCTAACTACGTCAATTAAAAACATTGATTTCCACGAAGGGCGTGTGTTCAAAAGTTATTATATATAAGTGTTGTATGGTGGCCCAGAACTGCCAAATTAATTTTACTTTTTTTTTCAAATAAATTTAAATCTTTTATAAAATTGATTTTAATGTAAAAACATGAAGCTTATTAAAATAAAAACAAAACGTTTTCCACGTGGCCCAGAACTGCCAACTGCCAAAAAATAATTAGATGCGATTATTGCGTAATTTCTAAATGAAGGTATAATGAAGTACTTACAGTATATATGAAGAGTAACAGTGGTCAGTGGATAGATAGTCAGGGATAATTATAGCTAATTTTCTTGGCGCGCTCATCGCCATATTGTTTTGCCATGTCTGAAATGAGTAAGTGGAAGAAATTTGCACAAAATATAAAATTAAAACGAACAAATGTTGCTACAAAGCAAAACAAAACAAAATGTGGCGAAGCAAGTAAGAACACTTGTGGTTCAAGTATTTTGGAAAACAAAGAAATCACGGTGCAGCTTCTAGCAACTGATGCAACCGGGAAAGCTAAAAAATACGAGAGAACCGGTCCGCAAGAGTTCGTACCATTCTTTTTTGAAGAGGTCACTATTCCCAATATCATTGCTGCTTGTAACAAGCACTTCAAGAAACGAGCTAAAGGCATGTCATGTGATGTTCTTGCAAGCGAACGTGGCCCGTCATGCACGAAGATCTCACAATTACCAAGCCTCAAGTTATTTCATATTAGATTTGTTATGACGGACGATCAAATGAACAGCGAGGGTAGTAGTACTGCATACAGTCGATACAGTGGTATAAACTCCAGCCCAGTCCGATTTGGATCAAAAGCATCAACGTCGACGCGCGCTGATCCAATTATCGTCCCTCATTCGACGAGTGCCATTGGCGTTAAACGTAAACTAGAAAGTTCCTTTCGAGCTCCAGTTAATAAGGTCCCAAAAAGCCTTGGAATTACA